AAACGAAAAATGAGTAGTGTAGTCGATTTCCTAATAAATACAACTTTGCCTTATCGACAATCTCACTACAAAGTTTGATATGAAAAAATGCCTGAACTTCCTTGAAATTCAGATTTGCCCTGTGGCTCAAGACAACTCGTGAAAGTCTGGCCTAGTCGCCAGCTTATCGAGATTATACGCTGCACTGTCGTGGTTTGAATCCCGTCGGTAGTGTTGATGAGGCCAGTTGCGGCGAGATGAAAGCTTCAGTCCACTCCTGCCCGGATGGGTATATCTTTTTTTGCAAAATTCAACGGAAGCGTAATTTTTTTATGATTGTGGGAAAATTCAACTTTAAGTTCCTTTTATCACCTTAAACGAAATAGAGTGAGTACATCTCATAAAAATGATCTATTTATAATCTCGAAAGCCTACTTATAAACGAAAAATGAGTAATGTAGTCGATTTCTTAATAAATACAACTTTGCCTTATCGACAATCTCACTACAGGGTTTGGTATGAAAAAATGCCTGAAATTTCTCGAAATTCCCATTTGCACTGTGGCTCAAGAGAACTCGTGGCAGTCTGGCCTAGTCGCCAACTTATCGAGATTATACGCTGCACTGTCGGGGTTCGAGTCCCGTCGGCGGTGTTGATGAGGCCAGTTGCGGCGAGATGGAAGCTTCAGTCCACTCCTGTCAAGATGGGTATACCTTTTTTTGCGAAATTCAACGGAAACGTAATTTCTTTATGATTGTGGGAAAATTCAACTAACTGCTATTCCTCACCTTAACGAAATAGGGTGAATACATTCCAGCTAGGTGGTGATTATGCCTTAAAATTGTGAATAGCCCTAGAAGGGGCATTTTGAGCTATAGACTTGTCCACCATGTCTATCCGTAACCATGTCAACATAATGCACATTCACTTTTGCTACTTTGATGATCCGTCAGATCCGTACGGACTCTTTGCTGCTGTCTCGTCAACCTCACGCTGACCAGCCTGTTTGCACCCTTCATGAAGCCGCAGACGGTAAAGCCCATCAATCGAATCTCTTGTGCTCCTGACGACGGCGACGGTGACGGCGTCGCGTCAGGCCAACTCGACGTGGCCCAATCTTCGTTTTTTCACTTTTTGTCCAAGTCCCGACGAGACCGTGAGACGCCTGAAACGGATCAACCCTGCACCAGCATTATTCCCGATCATTCGGTTTCGAGTGGAGAGGCCGACGACGGTTCAAAGTCGCCATCACTGCATCCGGTTCCGGTAAGCGATCGAGTGAATGAACTTGTACGACGGACCCATCAAACGTACCTTGGGCTTGGTTTTCGGATCAGGGACTGTATTGCCTTACTCAAAACCTCAACATATTGGCCTTTATAAAGGGCCAACTTGTTGGGATCTCATTGAATGGTTGGTGAGCGAATCCCGCCCCTCGAGACCCTCGTTCCCGGTCTACTATCGAGACCATGAGTTGCTTTAGTCGGTACGTTGATTAAGTCTATTAGAAGTGAAATACGACACATTTGTTCGCCTGTCACCTGCTGGCGACGCAAGTCGCACTAAGCAGCCCGCTGTACAGGGATGGCTGCTGTACTCTGTGGAATATCTCGAAAGTTCGATTCCTTCATATTTTCGTCCTGCTGTCAGGGCGACCCAGATGAACGAGTCCTGTTCGGAAGGAATGATAAAAAACATTTGGAAATTGAAATAAATGTAAGCTGAATTCCGAAGAATCCACATAGTGATTTAGTATATTTCGACTCTCCATTCTGGAAGAAAAGTAGGCTAAAATGAATTCGCTAATTGGTCGCACTGGAAACCGAAGATTGATTGACTGGGTTGCAGTGAAAACTAGTGAATTGTACTGTCCTGCGACTGCGATGAACCCGTGTTAAGCCTTTGTCTATCCTTCCGCGACAGGCATCATCACAGCCAGAAGGTAAAAGTTACAAAGTGGCGCAATAAAAGGATAGTAATACATTTGGAGGTCAGCCAAAATGTCATTAATGTGTGGCCTCTATTTGTAAATACTAATAGTAACCCGTTTGCGAGGATTATCTTGAGAAAACAATGTTGCGAAGACTTTCATTTCGCATGACAATTCATGATGAAAACATTCGTCGGTTGATCTCATGCACTTTCGCACAAAAAGAAAGTCTCCACAGCCTCTATTTATAGATAAACCTTTTTTTGCATTGTTTTCTCTCTTCCTGGTCTGAAAAAAATCATAAAATAATATGCAAATATGAATTCTAAGATGGTGTGCTCTCTATTTTTTCGGGAAAGCATCTCTTCGTTGCATAAAAGTAGTTTGCTCTCTTCATCTTTTGGTGACGTCGACCTTGGAATCCCGTATGAAACGCACTTTATAACGAAATGAAAGTCAAACATCAAGACAACATCAGCAGAAATTATAAAAAAAAGTATAATGCTTGAATACCGCATAGACTTAACCGAGATAAGAAAAGAAATATGAATTTGCAAGATCAAAAAATGTATAGGCAGCGTGCTTTCCAATAATCGAGCTTAGAATATGATAAAGAGGAAAAAATATAATAAATAGCCTATTCAAACAGACATAGAGGAAAACTAATAAAATTTCGTAATGTGTAGCCTCTATTATTTGCACAAACTGTCTTTATGCTACTTTTTCTCTTAATTTTCTGAAAAAGCACAAAAAAATGCACAAATATGAAGTCTACAATGGTGTTATCTCTATTTATTTTCTAGCATTATCTCTTTGCTGCATCAAGGTAGTTTGACTTCGTAAGACAGACCCAGATTAGGGCATCTTGTCCGAAATTCTCTGCGAAAGTAGTCGTGATGATTTGCTGCGTGTTACATTCGCGGACGTTCCGGCAATGCCGACAATGTCAATAGGCCTGACCAGCTTTCTGCCGAACGATTTTGGTATCCCACATCCTTGAAAATCAGAGCCGCGCTATACTTGCTATCAAACGATAGTGGCAGACCGTAAGAAACAAAGAAAAACTGGGTTTCGAGGAATCTCTTGCTTCATAATGGTTGAGCTTACTTCCATTTCGAGTGAAGGTGTTGGGTGAAGAAATTCGAAGGTCGGTTCCACCAGAAGACGACGGTCGATTCCTCTTGACCAGCTGTCGATTGGCCTTACTTGACGATTCATGCTGACGCTGTTTCCGAGGCAATCTCCTTCGATTCCGGTGAAAAGGTGCTAAGCTTTCTTGCGTCATATGACAGACATCATCAGAGCGAGGTAACATCTTCACAGCAAAATTCAAGCTAACGAGTCAAGAAAACTCACTGGCAAATCCCTAAAAAGTGGTACACATGTTCTACATCTGGCCTCTTTGATCAAGTATAAATTGATTTGGTG